GGGCTGTGCGCGGAGATACTGTAGTGATTTATGGTCTGTTCGTGTTGTCACGTCTGCGCCGGTCAAGTAACAGCGCCACACTTTGAACGCATGCACGATCGCTAGCATTTTGCGATCGTGTATCGGGTAATTTTTCTCGGGCGGATGCAGTTTCCGTGAATCGTATGCGATGGGCTGTAAACCGTTGCCGGAATTGTGTAGCAGTACGGCTCCAATGGCGATGTCGCTTGCATCTGTAACCACTTCGAATGGGCGGTGTGGGTCGGCGATGCGCAGTACGGGCGGTGAACAGAGAATTTTTTTTAGGGCAGAGAAGGCAGCATGCTCTTTCTCCCCCCACGTAAAAGCGACTCCTTTCCACAGTAAATCCGTCAGCGGGGCAGTTAAGCGTGCCATGTCGGGGATGAACCGACGCACATAATTAACAAAACCTAAAAAACTCTGCAGCTCCGTGATGTTCGTCGGGGGATGCCACGCTTTCACCGTGTCCAGCTTCTTGGGGTCGATCTCATCTAGCCTCCGAAATAACGTGCCCAAAAAATTCTAACATATCCTGGAAGAACTCGAACTTGGAACCCTTGGTCAGTAGTCTGTGCTCGTGTAAAACTTTAAACACTGCCTTTAGATCTACAAAGTGTTGCTGCTTATCACGACTGTAGACTAGGATGTCGTCGAGGTAAACTATCACGCATTTATCTAAGAGTGGCCTAAACGCCTCATTCATGGTCATCTGCAATGTCGCCGGTGCGTTGGTCAGCCCGAAAGGCATCACTGTGCACTCAAATGACCCGTACCTAGTCCTAAATGCTGTCTTGGCACAGTCCGATGGTTCGACCCGAATCTGATGGTAGCCTCCCCATAAATATATTTTCGAAAGACACGTGCTGTTCGCAGTTGATCTATCAGTTCGTCGGCGTGGGGAATGGGGTATCGCGATTTGACTGTAACCCTGTTCAGTGCCCTGTAATCGATGCACATGCGAAAACCTCCGTCCTTTTTCGGTGTGAACAGTATTGGTGCGGCGAACGGCGATGAGCTCAGTCGGATGATTTTTTTCTCTAACAGGTAATCTAACTGCTTCCTTAGTTCGTCGAGCTCGGGTTGTGTCAGTCTGAACTGTCGCTGTACGATTGGCTGTGCCCCGGGTTCTAATTCTATTCGGTGATCGTGTGCCCTCTGAGGTGGCAGTCCCTCCGGAAAGTCGTCGCGAAAAATTCTCGGGTACCGTTTCAACAGTTCCTGTAGTTCGGGTGGTACTGCTGCCAGCAGTTTCTGAAAATCGCTCGGCTGCTCTGCTTCTTCCACCACTGCGATATCCACCGCGTACACGTCAGCTCCAGCGGCGACAGCCTGTTTCATTGTGATGGCGTTGAAGTGGACCGTTGAAGACTCTGGCGACTGCCAGCGAGGTAGTTCAACCCAGTTACCGCTACTTCGCACTGTGCAACTACCCGTCGTCCAATCAATTCGCGGATTGTACCATCGCAGCCAATCACGTCTCCGTAAAATGTCGTGCCCATCCAATGTCGTCGCGAGCATTTCCTGTGTAAACCCGAAGTTCCCTCCGCAGCGGACTTTTACTCTCTCCACCTTATCCCGTATGGCCAGCGGCGTTCCGTCAACTAAGCGTGCGTCGATCTCGGGTAAACACCGACTAAGTATTAACTAAGTTGCGGCTTGCGCCTCCATCCATATTCATCCGAGCCCGATCGATAGCGTGAATCGGTACTGTGACTCGGTGAAGGTCGGTGAGGTTGGGCGAGCAGGTAGTCTCGTCAGTAGTTGGCCCAACTTCTACTGACTGCTGGCGTTTCCCTGCCTCTGAGACTCCCTCCCCTGCTCTGTTCTGCAGCAGCTCAACTACTATGGGCATTCGCTTTTGCGATGGCCCGGCCGATTGCAAGCAAAGCAACGCCCCTTAAACGGTGCGGCAGCTGCATTCGTCGCAACGGCATGTATGGTGGCGTGCTCGATTGGTCCCCAAGGACGATATCCGTAGTAGGACCCCGGTCTCGGACGGCGCAAAATGTCGATTTTCTCGGCGAGCGCAAGGATCTCGTTAAAATGCGAGAGATCGCGTAGCATGATTTTGTGCGAGATGTCCGGCTTCAACCCTCCGATGTAACGGTCCACTCGCTCCGCTTCGTGCATGTAGCCGACTTGCTCGCAGAATGGGAGAAAACGGCTCGTGTAGTCTTGAACTGGTCCGAGCTGCCGCCAAGTACGCAGTCTCTGACGCGTCGAAATAGAAGCCGCGATTGGCTCGAAGCGCGCCCGAAGCCCTGCGCACCACGCATCCCACGTGCTGTACTGGGCTGTCTCACAAAATGAACTCCAGGTGAAGGCTGGGCCCGTGGGCCCTTCCTCTTGCGACGGTGGCTCATAGGCGCGTGGCGATGTCACGATGACTCGCCACCAGTCCATGGCGGGGCTCCTTAGCAGCGAAATAGCGTAGCGAATTTTCGCTGCGTCCGACTCGACGTAATTCGCGTCGAAGAAGATGTTCATCGTGAAGACCCACGACTGAACCGTCGGACCTCCACGTTGGCTCGGGTCGAAACAGTGCGGGCGTTGCGGCTTGAGTAGCATTGGTGCCATGATGGGGTGCTCGCCACTTGTCGCTGCAAATTCCACGTGCTGACGGGCCTCGCGAGGCTCCCGCGGTCTTGGTGCCGCCCTATTTCTCTCCATGACAGGCATTGAGTGAGTGGCGCCATCACTGGCTACGTCTGAGCGTTGTCCCACGCTGTTGTTCTGTGTCGGTGTGCCTGATGAGACGATGATCGGCTCCTCTGATTGTGCAGGTGCATTGGTTGGTGCTGGTGCATTCACCGTTGATTGCTGGTGAGCGGAGTCGCGTTCCGCCGTGAGTGTAGCGATTTCGAGCGCCGAATCTTCGAGTTGGCGCTCGAGACGGTCAAGCGGCGCTTGCGTCAGTGTCGCGAGATTAATTTCAGCCATGGCGGGGGTGTCGGGCAAGCTCAGCGAGAGCCTCTGTTGTGGCCGTGCGTGCTTACGAGAGAGCACTTCGAGCGGCGGTGCTTGTTCGCTGAGAGACGTCTACCCCCCCCAAAATTCGAGATAGTGGGGAAGCGAAGGTGTGGGTGCGGTCCGAGAAGAGCTCGTAGGCTCTAAATACCAAGTATTACGAGTCCAATGGAGTGAGCGAGTGAGGATTGCACTATCGAAGCAAGAGTACAATGAGCGAAGGAATGGGCGAAGAATATATAGCGAAACTTCAGTGGTAACGGTAATGTGTGGAAAATGAGGTGCGCGACGGGCCTAGTGCCGAGGTTGGGAATTGTCGAGGCGGAGGTCCGGAGCGCGGGTTACCAACTGAACCGTGAGGTTGGGTCGCGTCGTGAACATTGGCGGGAATAGTGTCGAGGCGAATTTCGCGAGTGGTAACGGATTATTGTTGGGTGTTGTTGGCGGGAAACAGTGGTGGACGCGCTGAGCAGGGACGCGAAGTAAGGAGAAGGAATTTTCCTTAGAGGTGCAAAGAGGTGACTGGTTTAACTAGGAGTTATGGTGTGAGAAAGAGTCGCCTGCCGATGAACGTCGGATCACAGCACAAACCCATGACGAGGACAAACTGAACATGTCAAGATCACGACAAGCATGTGGGGTATGGCTGGACCCTCAAGTGTGCCACCCTTTTCCCAAACCAAACCGCACGCAACGCAACCCGTTTCGTCGCCCATGGTCCCTCCCCGAGCCGAAGTTCCAGGAAACTGACACGAGGTCGCATTCTTCCCACTGCGAGGGCCGGAATTGTGTCGTCATGGTTCAAAAATATAAAGCGCGAAAGTGACATTGTAACAGTAGACACACGCTTACGGAGTTCATGTTGGAAACATCCTAAGGAGAGAGCTCATTCCCCCAACCTCCATGCCATGGTATATCTGTACCACAAATATGCGTACTGCACCGCATCCAAGCGTTTGAAACTTCATTTTCGGGAAAAGCTTTTGGCAGTTCACTTGTCTGCCATAGCTGCTACATAGACTTTCTCCCTCACTGCTGTCTGCGGTCATCAGGTTAGAACCGGCGTTATCATCGGTCATGCTTCTATCGTCAACGAGTTTTTCGGCCTTCGAAGGTCCGTCCGACTGGAACCAAAACATTCGGAGCGCTTGCGGGAAAGATGGAAGCAGCCGTCGCTTTATCCCCTGAACTGACCGTGTTCTAACGTAAGGCCATCGTCGTTTCACTTGCTCAACTCGTTATCTCAAGAACTCAACCGAGGCCGACATTGCTTGGTCGTGGCTTTCTGACCTCTGTTCTCGAGAATCCACCCACGCGCTATCTCAGCGAGATGCCAACTCCGTCTCCGTTCCGGGCTGGCAATCTCATACAATTTTCCCAATTCGAGACGCGCCTTCAGTCATAGAGACGGAACGACTGGGCTGCAGAGGCATTCTTCAGAATCGACTCATTTAGGGTTGACTCATAATGCGCACACTTGCCTAGGGGACTGGCTCGCACGGCTCATAGGGGGGGCAATAAGCTACGTAACTTCTCGCTTCAGCTAATAAAGAAGTTCCCTTTCTGCTAAATTATTTCGCTATCTCGTACATCGATACGACTCTGAACTGGTCTCGTGTATTCAAACAGCGTCCTCGCGACTCGAAGAGGTGTACATACTAAAGCAGTCGACGCGGCTGCTGATTCTGTCGAACTCTAAGCGAGTCGTCATGGCGAAGCGAGCGGCTTTAGTGCGTCGCAGAGGCTCACTGTTATCCGGAATCGTCTAAGCCGCAATTTAGCCTTTTCATAGTCTCCACCGTTATCCTTTTCTAGCGGAATAATAACCTAGCCTCCTTGCAAGTAGTTTGAGCAAACAGTCTGCAAATAGTTTGCAAATAGTAATGGCGAAGCTGGTCGATTTAGTGCTTCACAGAGGCCTTTCCAGTCGGCGAGCCGGCGCGAACAGCGAGTGGGGCCCGTATGCGTTGGGAGCGGTCGATGATTGCGATGAAGACGAAGCTGTCGCTATGATGGACGGCGACGTCGACGAAACCGTTGGCGAAAAGGGTAACAGTGGCGGGGGCAATCGTCAGCGACAGCAGCAGCAGCAGCAGCAGCAGCAGCAGCAGCAGTTGCTGTGGCCGCCGCAGGCGCAGCCGCATCAGACGCTGCTTCCGCAGATGGTGCTTCCCGCAAGACTAGACTCAGCGGGTAACGCGGCGGGAGAGGCGGGCGGGGGTGCATTGCAGCAACAAGTACAGACACACTCATTGCATCCACAACTGTTTCAGCAGCAGCAGCAATTTTCGCAGCAGCCGCAGCAGTTTCCGGAGCAGCAGCAGCAAAATATATTCACTTTCAAGGCCACCGAAGCTTCTTCCGCGGCGCAATCGGCAGCCATGGATTGTTACTCTCCCACCAAGCTAATCCGAACCAAATCCCTTTCCTTTCACCCTCCAGCAACCACTTTCAACCCGCTCCCCTTCCGGGACCTAACCCTCCCCGCATACTCCCTCATCTCCTCCCCGCACTCCCCCTCGCGCTCCCCCCCGCGCTCCCCGCCGCGCGGGATTTCCCCGGGTTCCGCGGAACCCATGTCCGCGGACGCCTTCTCCGCCGCGCCGTTCGGCTCCCCCTACCACTCTTCCGCCTCTGTCAGCGCAACCTTCCCCGCGAGCTCCCCCGCGTCTCCGTTCCCCGCGCCGTCGTGCGCGGGCTCGTGCTTCTTCCCCGCGGCGGGGGCTCCTCCTCCCCCACGGCCTCCGCTTCCCGCTCCGCTTCCGCCTACGCTTCCGCTTCCGCCGCCGCGGCAGGTGGACTGCCGGCGCATGAACCCGCCTCTGGGGCGGTTGATTTCGCGCCTGTGCGGGTTCCAGTCGGGGATAATGCAGCGCCGCCAGCACGTGTTCGTGATGCACCACGGGGAGCGCGCGGACGCCGCCGACCCCCTGTGGGCGCGGAGAGAGGGCGCGGAGCGCGCGTGGGACCCGCCCCTGTCGGAATGGGGGAAATACCAGGCTTATGAGGTGAGCGCGGGGGGGTGTGAAGGGGGGGGGGGGGAGTTTAGGGGGAAGGGGAGGAGTGGGGTGGGGAGGATTGAAGTGGGCGCGAAGGGAGATTGCGGGGGTGGGGTGTGACGCATATATCCCACCTCACTCGTGGTTCAGCTTCCCCTGTATCCCCATGTGCGCTGTACCTGCGTTGTGTGGAGGCCGCCGTCGAGTTTCATGCCCTCACTGACAGACACCCACCCCCTTCCTCCCACTGCCTCTGCTCCTGCTTCTGCTGATGGTTGTAGTCCGTTTGCTCACACATGTATCCCCATATCCCCGTGTCTCCATATCCCCGTGTCCCCATATCCCCGTTTCCCCATGTCCCCATATCTCCCCATCACACCCCCGGGTGGGTATGCTGTTGAGGCAGGAAGGGTGGGGGGTCACGCGCATAGTGTGTGCGCGCCCTCGAGCTGCTGCTCGCGCTCACTCACACCCACCCTCTTCCACCCTCACCACCCCCTTCCTCCCACTGTCTCTGCTGCTGCTGCAGCTGCTGCTGCTGGCTGCCATCCGTCTGCTGAGACATGTGCCCCCATTTCTCCACATCCCCATATACCCATGTCCCTGTATCCCCATGTCCCTGTATCCCCATGTCCCTGTATCCCCATGTCCCTGTATCCCCATGTCCCTGTATCCCCCGTCACATTCCTTCAGGTGGGCATGAGGCTGAGGCAGGAGGGGTGGGGAGTCACGCGCATCGTGTGTGCGCCGTACCTCCGCTGCCTGGAAACCGCCCTCGAGCTGCTGCTCGCTCTCACTGACGCACAACCCCTTCCTCCTCCCTCCTCCTCTGCGCCCACTGCTGCTGCTCCTGCTGGTGCTCCCGCCGCTGCTGGCCCTGCTGCTGGTGCTGCTGATGCTGCTGATTCTGCTGGTGGTGCTGGTGGCAGCACTGGTGGCAGCTTTGGCACCAGCAGCAGCATGGTACCGGGGGGTAGTAGCTTCCTCTCCTCCTTCTTCTCCTCGCGCTTCCGCCGCAGCAAACTCGGTGGTCGCCCTGCTGCTACTGCTACTGCTGCTGCTGCTGCTGCTGCTGCTGCTGCGGCTGGCAGTGCTGCCAGTGGTGCCAGTGGTGGTAGTGGTGCTGCCAGTGGTGGTGCTGGTAGCAGTGTATCTAGGTGTGCATCTGCACGCCACCAGCACCTCATGCGACGCCGACAGGTACCTCTTGCTCTCCCTGTCCCGACTCGCTCCCTTCCCCTACTCTCTTCGCCTCTCCAACCCCTCTTTCCCCCTTGCCCCCTCTACCTCCCCAATACCCCCTTCCCCTTTTCCTCACGTGAAGCAGGGTGCATAGCCCAGCCCCCAAACCAACCTTGTGAGAATTCTCAAAAGTCAAACCAACCTTTTGAGAATTCTCAAAAGTCAAACCAACCTTTTGAAAATTCTCAAAAGTCAAACCAACCTTTTGAGAATTCTCAGAAGTCAAACCAACCTTTTGAGAATTCTCAAAAGTGAAGCAGGGTGCATAGCCCAGCCCCTACCAACCCACATTGTTTGCTCAGCATTCCTCCCATCTCTTCTCCCCTCCCTCTTCCCTTTCTTCTCCTCCTTTCCTCGCTGCCTTCACATACCCCTCTCCCTCCCACCTTCCGTTACCCTCCCCCAACCCCCGCCTTCCCTTTACCCTCTTCTCCGTTGCCTTCCAATACCCTCCCCCCTTTACACTTCCCGCAGCAATCATCCCTCACGCCTCAGCCGAGCCTGGCCCTCCCCCCGGACCGCAAGCGCAAGTTCGGCATGTGGGACGGGGCATGGCAGGGCGCGGGAGGCGTGGGGGGGGAGGTGAGAGTAGCAGTTCACTACGGGCTGCATGAGGTGGTCCGGCAGGGGGAGGGAGGGGCAGAGGGTGCGGCAACAGCAGCAGCAGCGCCAGCAGCAGCTGCAGCAGCAGTGGAGCTGTTTGCAATGGGTGGGCAGATGAGGGAGGGAGTGGGGCAAGGCATGTGGCGAGTGCAGTCAGCATTACCGGGACCGGAACAGTGTGAAGGGCAGGTTCACGGGCAGGGTCAGGGGCAGGAGCGGTGGCAAGGGCAGGGGCAGGGACAGAATCAGGGATCATGTACTGTAGCTGGCAACTCTGGTAATAGCAATTCTGCTGCCTCGCTGGCACCTCGCGATTGGCTGGAAGGCATGTTCCCGCCGGGCGCAGTGGACAGGATTCTGCCAGTTGTCGCTGGGTCGGCAGCTGCTGCTGCTGACGTGGCACTGCCAGGCTGGCCTGAGGACGTGGAGGAGGCAGCGTTGCGGCTGCTGCGGTCAATTGACCACGTGGCAGAGCAGGTGGGCAGAGGGAGGGGACAGGTGGGCAAAAGGAGGGGGGAGGGGGGCGGGGCAAAGTGGGAGGGGAACAAAGTGGGGCAGGGAGGTGGCCGGTAGGTTTGTGGAAGGCTTGAAGCATACAAGAAAGGGACGGCAGGTGGGATATTGGGAGTGCGGACAGGCGGCGCAGGTGGGATAGTGGGAGTGCACACATTAAAATCTAGTTTCTGGAATCCACCCGGGGGGTTTATTCTCTGCATGTGTGGATATGGTTTGCTTTGTCACCACCATCAGCGGCACGTAAGGCGGGAAGGGGGTAATGGCGAGCTGAATCACTTGAAACCCTCCGATTAGTCTTTTTTTTAGACGACTCAAGAATAGTCTCTCTGAAACCCTCCTTGTCCGATTGCTGTGTATTCGGTTCTATGACGACAAGTGTCTTTCTTGGTGCAGGGAGGAGGGAAGATGGGTGACTCATCTGTTCCATGTCAACTTTACATACCTTCTGTTGCACTCCCTCCTTTCTGTACGCACCCTCTGCTGTGCTCCCTTCCTCCTTGTGCCATGCCATGCCCTGCAGTGGCAGGATGAGAATATCATAGTCGTCAGTCACTCGGATGCTGTGCGCGCGTTTTGAGACGTCTCGAACCTGATCACCTCGATTGTGCTCCCTCCCTGCTGTGCTCTCTCCCTGTTGTGCTCCCTTGCTGCTATGCGCTGCAGTGGCAGGATGAGAACATCATAGTCGTCAGTCACTCCGATGCCGTGCACGCGTCCATCCTTCGATGCAGGAAGCATGTGAGTGACAGATTAGCAGTGTAAGAGAGTGGCAGTGGCAGGATGAGAACATCATCGTGGTCAGTCACTCGGATGCCGTGCATGCGTCCGTCCTTCGATGCAGAAAGCATGTGAGTGACTGTATAACTGTATGTGTGTCTGCAACCCCATAATGTGCTATTTCCAGGAGCCAGCTATTGTTTACACCCTTTCCCTTCTTCTTGCCTTGCCTTCTTCTTGCCTTGCCTTCTTCTTGTCTTGACCACTTGTACCTGTGGCAAGCTGTCCTTCCAAGCGGCGCCATTCCTTATGCTGCTCGCTGGTATTGCTGCCTTCCATCTCATGATCCCCCTTTTCTCTTTCCCTTTTTCTCTTTCGGCAATGTGCAGGCCACTGTTCACAACATTTTGACAGCAGGTTATGTGCACACACAGAGGAATGTGTATCGGGACCAAGAGGACGAGGAGGAGAGAGGCGTTGGCCAATGGCAGCTTGCGTCTCGCTCTGGGAGCACAGGAATTTTCTTTAATTAACCTCCAAAATTCAGTTCTGGAACCCTTGTGGTATTATTGGTTCTAGTGCCCAGCTCTAACCTGAGATAGGGCCCTTAGCCTATATTCCGTTTTTGTGGGAGGTTTATTTACGGCATAAGCTGGTTTGAAATGGAAATTTAGGTATCATCAGCCAATCTCAGCGGGCGAGCTTGGGTCTGGTTTGTTCCGAGCCGCATTAATTAGACTTCAGTGAAAGCTGCCCAAAAAAATAAGCCTTGATCTGGAACCCTCCCCTACAGCCCGGTACAGTACCGACTGACCCCACCACCAAATCACATCATCTCACCAGCCCACTCACCTACCATGCCCCTCACCACACCACCCACCACACTAAGAGTGCTGTTTCCACCAATCAGCATGTATCACTGTAACGGACGCGACGCGGCTAGTCCTTCCTCTCATTCCGCGATATTTGGGTACTTTTGAGTCGACCCACCTGCTTTTTCGCGTCACCAAAGGGCAATTTTCTGTGTCTCGTCATTCCTCAAAAGATGCTTTTGGGAGTTTCCATCCATTACGACCTGTACTCGCAACAGGATCAATTCCGTCTCCTCCGCCATCCTCGCACGAGAAAGCAGTGCGTCTGTAGCGACACGACTCTACCCGCATTCTGTCCTCAAAGCAAACTTCGGAAGAAGCAAGCGGAAGGACCGTGGAAGGGAAGGGTAACTAGCGGTGGTGGTTGAGTTTCGACGCCGTCGTAGAATCCGCGCATTCGCGTTCGTTAGTAGCATTCGCGCTATAAGCACGCAGCAGCGGCTTTTTTGTGGAAGAGGGGAGGTAGAGGAGGATCAGCAGCGGCTCGCGCCGCGAGATGGCGGCCGGCAAGATCGAGGCGCCGCCGCTGAAACTGCACTCTCGTTCATGCAAGCGGCACTTGATGGGTTTCCCTTCACATGAATAGCGACTCGTAGGTGGCTTACTCGAGCACTCTAGAACGGGATTCACACCGTACAATAAAGCCAGTATAAGCGAGCATCCTTAGGTCGCAGCTCGTGAGAGTTCATATGGTTTCGTTTCTCTGGAGTTTTTGGCAACCACCACCATGGACCCACGCGCTTTGTACAGTCCCGCCTTTTCAGCTTTGAAGCTGACCAAACTGAACATTTTTTCACTCCCAAAACTCACTCGGTTGTTGACTTAAGAACGTGGTGGCATGTTGAGGAGTAAGTCTGCCAGATCCATTAAATGCAGGAAAGCTCAAGGACAACATGCTACCGCCTCAAGTGATCTTCAGAGCACGTTCAAGAAGCTGAGCTCTACCTAGAGTTCTCCGGCAACGGATATAGCTCCTGTTGGTGTCTTCTGGGACTACGAGAATCTTCATGAGCTCGTGGTAGTTCCGCCGGGAAAAAACATGGCAGATGACACCATAAAGAAAGACGCTGAACGACTCTTGCTCAGGGAAATTGCATGCCTTCTAAACTCTACACGAGAAAGCACTGAGGTGAAGTAAGTGTTGTAACTGTATCTATTTTGTTTATCCTTCCAGCCACTCCACCTTTTTTTTCTCTGATTCCAAACTGTCTGCGCATATCTCAACCCTGGCTTCCCAAAGTCTGCAAGAAGCGCTCATGCAAAGAAGGGGCTTGTGCTGCTTTTGAAGGAAATGCCTGATTTGATTGAAGTGCAGGAAGTCACAAAGAAAATAGTTCTTGTGCGTCTCATTCGGAAAGAGAAGGACACGACGATTGCCAAGTGGAATCTGAGGAGTGTAATGTGGGATAGATCAGTGCACATGTGTCAGTAACTACAATGTACTACATACTAGTGCTTGTACCTTGCATTCTGCTGCTTAAGAATACAAAACGAAATTGGCCCTAGGCATGGATTACTTACAAGAGGACGAATATCCACGACACCATCACGGAAGCTGTATCGATACGGTATATCCCTCGCACTATTTATGTTCCCCCGACACACCATACTACTTGTCTTAGAAACTAAAGCAGCGGAATTATTGCATTGAGCAGAATGAGGAATAGAAGTAGGAACCCAAAACGGGTTGTGCCCCCTATTGTATACCCCACTACAGCCTAACAACAACATTTGTAATTTGTCACACCCCCATAAGCTAAGTGGGGGACAACAAGACGGTCGCAAGACCAGTCAAGCGAAGAAGCAAAGAAAAGCTCAGGGTGGATCTCAAGATCACCACACAGTCCGAGAACAAGCAACTGGCCACAAGGCCAGCTCACTTGCATAGTTATAATAACAAAAGCACTACACTGAGCACAACCTAGCAAGTGTAAACATGAAGGTACAAATATATTTAGCAGTGTACAATAAGTGCAAGGTGAGATCAAGAGACAAGCAGGAGAGGCAGAGTGGGCACAAGCCCAAGAGCAGTGCAGAAACGCTGATGATCACCAGACCCTAGGGCCTTGGTGAAGATATCAGCAGTGTTGGCCTGTGAGGCCACGTAAGCAAGGCGAAGTTAACCACGCTGCTGTAACTCTCGTGCAAGAAAGTAACGAAGAGAAATGTGATTCGTTATGTGCTCCAGTCTCTGCTCCCAACACAAGGCAATCATGGCCTTGTTGTCGACGTACAGAGTTGGAGGAGAACGAGGCCGCTCACCCAAGTCAGTCAGCTAGTAGGTCAGCCAGCGAAGCTCCTGCGCATCCATAGCCCAAGCGTAGATCTCGGCCTCACAACTGGAAATAATTACAGAAGACAAGCGGTTGGACCTCCATGAGACAAAAGTAGCACCTAGAATGAAAGTGTAACCATGTGACGACCGCTGGGTCTCCTGGTCGTCGGCCCTAGAGGCGTATTTGTGCCCAGTGAGCAGAACTCGACCCTGTCCTCCAAGCACAACCCCCATGCCTGATGTACTCCACAAGAAACGCAATACCCTCTGTGCAGCCCTGTAGTGCTCAGGGCGGTGTCTCCCGGGCGCAACGTAGCACACCAGGATGCTGATAGGGTACGCGATGTCAGGTCGAGTGCACATCATCAGGTACATGAGGCAGCCTACAAGCTCTGGATATGGACCACTCGGCTCTACGGACTCGTCCAAAGGTGGAGCTGAGAGCGAGTGGCTCGTAGGCAGAGGAGTGGGCTGTGGCGAGGAGAACTGAAAGCGGAACCGCTGAAGCACCTGCTGCACCATGTGTGACTAAGTCAGAGTGATGGTGCGTGCTGCTCTGTCCCGGGTGATCTGCAAGCCAAGATAGCTACGTAGTTCACCCAAGTCAGTGCAGGTGTGTCTCTTCTGTAGCTCTGCCTTCACAAGGGTCGGTGCCTCAGTGTCAGCAGTAGCAAATACCATGTCGTTGACGTAAACGAGGATGTAGAACTGCGCAGAAAGAGCGATGGGTCAGCAGTCAAAGGAGCAAACCCAAGAGCCGCAAGTGTCGTCCTCAGTGTGTCGTGCCACTCGCGGGGCGCCTGGTGGAGACCGTAGAATGGCCGCCAGAGGCTCCACTTGGTACCCTCAGGAACCGACCCAGTGAAGTGAGGTGGGCGGCACAACCAGATCTCCTCGTGAAGGTTGCCCTGCAAGAAAGCGGTCGAGAAGTCGAGAGAGTGCACGCTGTGCTGCAATGTGCAATAACATCCGAAGAGTGGTCGTCTTCGGGGTGGGGGAGAAGGTCTGGAAGAATTCGACCCCCTGTCGCTGTCTGAAGCCTCGTGCAACGTAACGCGCCTTGAAGGTAGGAGGAGAATCCTTAGGTCGCTTCACCCTGAAAATCTACATGCCATCGACTATGTTCGCCCCAGGAGGGGGAACTGCGTCGACGTAGGTGCCTATGGACTTCCAGAATGCCATCTCTGCGTCCATGGATGTCTGCCACTGAGAGGATTACTGACCCGAGATCGCCTCTGCGTAAGAGCGCGGGGTCGGGATGTCCAGTGCATCTCGGTCTCCCTCAGGGACAAGCAACATGGCAGCGAGATGAGGTACAGCACCCGCAAAGCACTCGAGCTCAAACTGCCTGTCCTCAAGAACGTCACTGCCAAGGGCAAGCTCACCCCCGACGGACGGAGGACAGTTAGACTTCGAAATACTCGCGAGGTAGTCAAGGCGGCAGGCAGCAGCAAAGTCATCTAGCTCAGTGACAAAGGCAGACGCAATAGCAAACCCAAAAGTAGGTTAAGTGACAAAGGTGGCCAGACAACGAGTGACAGTCGAACTAGCAGCACGAGCAAGGTCAGACTCAGGGTTCAGGCAAGTCAGGAAGAGAGGACTATGGAGGAGACGGCATGGCAACATGCTGTGGAATAGAGGAAGGACGAAGTGCTATAGTGTGAGTGCCGGGAACAGGTGTAGGACAAACACGACGAGGACGACGAAAAGTGCAAACAGGCGAGGCAAGATGAGACGCAGGCTCGCGACACTCGGTCTGGGAGTCTGTCAACTCAGTGTAAGGAGAAGGAGCAGGCAATGGGGAGTCAGGCTGTAACTGTATCTAAGATGGGTCAGGTGGCGGACACAGTAGAGGAGGAGTAGTGCCAGTAAAAGAAGGAAGGCTGAGCACCAGGCGAAGCACCAAACTAGGTGGTGGTAGCGACGACTGTGGCTCGGGCCAGAAAAACAGTCGCCGCTGCAGTGGCTGCGCAGCACCCCCAACACTAGAACCTCCAGTACCTCCAGCTCCAGGACCTCCAGCTCCGGTACCTCCAGCTCCAGTACCTCCAGTAGTAGCACCTCCAGCTCCAATACCTCCAACTCCAGTACTCCCAACACCAGCACCACCAGCTCCAGAACCTCCAGCTCCAGTACCTCCAGCACCAGCACCTCCAACACCGGCACCGCCAGCTCCGCCACCGGAGCTGCCACGCCGGGCAACCCACTCACGAAGCTGCAGTGGCGAGAGAGTCTCCTGCCGATGCAACTGCTGCTGCTGTCCACCCCCAGAACCTCTAGCAGGAGCACCCACGACTCCACCACCACTAGGACGCTCAGCACCCCCGGAACCAGTACCTCTATAGTTAGCACCCTCAGTGTCAGCACCCCCAGACTCAGCACCCCC